CTGGGGGGTTGGGGGGAAGCATTATAATTTGACATTTACTATCTGAGGACGCACTCACCAGGCAATCCTTTTACAAAATAGGAAGGACAGTGCTGCAAGGCAAAACACACACACTCTCTGCCATCTCCATAGCTAGGAACATGCAAATTGCACAGGGGGATGCTATTAAGCAAGAGAGGGCTAAAGCTCTAGCTCAGGAAATAGGTCACCTTCCCACATTCACCTTTTCCTTTCTCATCCAGATCATCTAAGCAAACACACAGAAACCAAGGCAAAAAGTAGAACAAAACACTGAATAAATGAATGCACAGTCTAATGTACACGTTCCCTTTGACCACATACGGCTCCTTGCTTTATTTGTTCTGTTGATGTTCTACAGAATGTTTTTACCAGCTGCAAAGCTGCAGAAGTAGCAAGTTATAGACAATAACATCACGGAACAAAGCTTGAAGTTCTCTCCCTGCAAACACCAGAAGCCTTCTCCCAAGCTACTCATGCAGCAGAAACGCACCATGGCACTAGGAAGCACAGTCACAAACAGCCTCAGTCTTGAAGACTAGACACTTACAAAAGGTCCGTGGCCCAAGGGTTTTGCAGGCTAAATGTTTTCTGCTATTGGAGTTTCTCCCTGTAGCCAGGACCTCACACAGATGCAAGAGCAGCTCTGCTGCAGCCTTCTGGCTTCTCTACATAAGAAAATGATGCAAATAAATGGGATATGAGACAAGCCCCAAGCATCTCACCTCTCAATGGCTCATCAGACCCAACTAGAGCAGCAAGAAGCAAAAATAGCTATCCATTTTCACTACTTTAATGCCTAGCATAACAGGAGGTAGCAGTTTTGGTTCATTCAGTTCATAATGGCAAAAAACAAAAAAAAAAAATCACAAGACAAAAACCCTCAAAGCGGTCAGGACCTTGAATTAGCAAGAAGGGCAGAAACAGAGCAGGCTGTGGAGAATTAACTACTTATCAGCTCCAAAACTGGCCTCTTCACTGATCACCATCACCTGCACCATCCATCTAAGTGGTAAGTAACTGTGCAACCTGCTGCTGCCGACTATGGTGTGAATAATAAAATTTGACTGTGCTAGTCAGGTACTTTTTCCAGATGGCAACTATATACTGAAAGGAACCATGACTCAACTGTGATGCACCACGCATCTAAGGAAAATGCCTGGCACACAGACAACAAGCAGCATTACAGACTGTGAGAGAATCCCTTCTCAAAGGCATGACTTTTCTGCTGTGCCCAATAAGCTGAAACGAATCGCAAATTTAACCAAAACGATGAATTTAATATTGAAAACCTAATGGATGTTCTACCTGAAACCAGGACACAGTTATTTTAAACACTGCCTAAGTAAAGTCCCACTCAGTAAAACAGGACAGTTGCTCTCATGAAACAACACAGCGGTTGAGAAGAATAAACGAAGCAACATTTCCCAGACATTTTTCACTGTTCAGGGTTATGACTGTTCAATTATGTCTGCAAAACGCTGGTACTTCAGCAAAATTCATGAACCGGAAAAAACACAAAACACTGATGCTGTAAAATCTAGGAATAAACCTAGGAGTTGGGCAAGCAGATGACGAAACACTTAGGAAAAAGAACATTAAGGAAGGCCACTGACAGATAAAACCTAGTAGCCCAGAATCACAGAACGGTTGCGGTTGGACTGGACCGCTGGAGATCATCTAGTCCAACCCCCCTGCTCAAGTAGGGTCAGCTCGAGCAGGCTGCCCAGGACTGGGTCCAGACGGCTTTCCAACCTCTCCAAGGATGGAGACTCCACAACCTCTCCGGGCAACCTCTTCCAGTGCTGTTATCCCCAGAATAAAAAAGTTTTTCCTTATGTTCAGACAGACCTTCCGGCAACGACTGGCACGTGGCATAGATGCGGTTGTGTGAAAAATGACCCCGTAACGCAGTGTATCCTTCAAGGCTACCTCATCATATTTTCCTGATGGAACTTTTTCCCCTGTCATTTTTGCAAATTTTCCTCTTCCAACCTCTGATCCTTGTGGTCGGCTCAAAAACGGAGCCTGAGGTTTCTGCGGAAGCTGCCAGTTCACTCCGGTGAAGGAGGCATTACCGACTGACATCAGCGCTGGGACGCAGCCCTCCCACAGCGGTTTGGAGCGGTCTTTTTTTTTTCCCCCCCACCCGCAAAAGTGCTAGCAATGAAGTTTCACCATAAAAGGAAGGCCCTAGAGAGCAGCCGACGCCACCGGTCAGAGCCCGGCAGGGCAGGGCACAGAGCGGGGCACAGGCGCGCGGGACGCGCTGTCCACCCGTACACGGGCTCGCAGTGGGGCGCAGCTCGGCGAGCCCAGTCCTCCCTCGCCAATCGCTCGCCTTCCCCGTTGCTGGGGAAAGTCCTAAAAAATAAAACAGCATTTTTCTGTCTGGTCTTTTCCGATCTTCTCTCCCACAGCTGCACGGGAGGAAGGGGTTCTTGCCAGGCTTGACGGTGGTGTTTTACCACCGCCGCCACGCGCACA